AAAAAAAAAAAAAAAGCGGAGTACAGCGTCCCGACCGAAGATCAATCGGGACGCGGGACAAATACCTAAATATCGGGACGGTCCCGATTTTATCGGGACGTCTGGTCACCCTATCAAAGGAGAGACCCAGCCCCAAAATTGCTGGAGCCCTGTGGGCCACAAGGGGGGAGGTTCTCAGGCCGCAGATGGTCCGTGGGCCGGGACTTTGAGACCCCTGCTTTAAACCCTTTAGCAAACTGATACAGATCACAATCTAAATGAAGTTTAGAAAAGACCTTAAGTTCGGAGACCAAGCTTCTGTCCATTTTACCCGTGACGTTTTTCCTCCCTTGTTTTCCTTGGTTTTTACTGGCTTGACTAATGGGTAGTTCAATGTTTTTCATTCCAAATATTTAAAATTCTTGAATACACTGTTACCTCCATCTAGTTGAAGCTATTAAAGTGAAACATCAATCAGTTGGCATGACAGAACTTCACAGGAATGGATTTCCATAAAAATTAGTCTGTCAACATACTCGTCATCTCAAACTCTATTTGAAAGCTTTATCCCCAAAGTGCCTACAACGCAGACCCAGAGGGGAAGCAATCACAAATAAGAAGGTATATTTTAGTTACTGAGTAATAAATTACTTGCCTCCTAGGAGGATTTCACTTCTCTAAGGATCCTTCATTTTTCCACACACTGGGGTCAATCCAGCTCTCACCAAAGACAAAGTGTAACAGGCCAGTGTCCGCTCCTGTTCTGAGATCCCACACAAACAACCTGGAATGCTTTCTGTTTGCTAGCACCTCCATGAGTTTTATTGATATTACCTACACCAAACCACCATCATTATCCTATGCAGCAACTCTCTCTGCAGTTTCCCCTAGTCCTCAGCCCTTTCTCTAGAGAGCGCTCTCACCACCCCGACCTCTTGCTTCCTCTGAACTCTGCTAGCATCCCCCCTTGCACTTCCTTTCCGTGCTTTTTAACTACCCTCTCAGATAATAGGATAATTAGCTCCTTAGCTCATCAGTCCTCTCATCCCCCAGTTTGATTAGAAAAGCTGTAAAGACCCAGGCTCAAAAAGCGCAAGAGAGTGTTTAGTAAAAGCTGTAAAGAAATACGCCACTCCTCCAGCAGGTCTTTTCTGGGGGAACTAATTAAAGCTGAGTGATCAGAGTGCTGGGTCAGCTACTGGTTCTCAGCACTCTGTTGCACCGATCAGACCCTTTGTACCTATCACCCTTGAGGCCCCATGTTGCATCCATAGTTTTTCCATCAGAAGAGGGCCAGTCTCCTTTAGGGACACTGCAACTCCCATTGGGAGTCTTTCTATTGATTTTTATGACCGCTGCAATGGGCCCTTAGGGTACGTCTACACTGCAGCTATGGACGAGCCCCCCCAACACAGGTGGACAGAGTTGGGCTAGTGGAGCTCACATTAGCATGCCAAATATAGTTGGGTAGATGTTGCAGCATGATGTACGCTCAAGCTACCCACCCAAGCTCAGGCCTACCCTGCTCCCTGGGTCCGAGCTCGGGTTGGGAGCCTGAGCCTCTGTCGGCACTGCAATGTCCACACAGCTGTTTTTAGCATAGCAGGTTAAGCCCTGCTAGCACAAGTCTGTCTACCCAGGCTGGGAGGCTCACTCCCAGCTGCAGCATAGACAGATCCTTACAGCCCAGCCAAACTAACCAACCTTTAATCAGCCAGACTGGCAATTTTACCAACACAGGTCTTCCCACAGCACTGCGTTTGTCTGGGTACTAAAATTTTGTTAGGAGAAGGTTACAATTAATTTAAAGACACCAATACTCGGGAACAACGTATACTTACAAGTGCTCTGCTGAATCTACATCCAGGTGCTTGTCTTTTCCGTTTGGTATACTGTGGTCAATAACTATTGTTTCAGTGTTTGCTAAACAAAATCCATTAGATCGCATGATTTCTGTGGGAGAAGGGAAGAAACAGGTAAAATGCTGAAAGTCTGAGATGGTTCCAGAAAAGGTGGGGGAGGGGGAGGGCGACGGGGCAGGAATAGGGTGGCTGCACATCGCACAAAGCTGACATTGCTGCAAACAGGACATACTGAAGTGTCAGTGAATATCTGTGCAAGCTAATTTAAAAGAAAAAGTCTTTATTATTTTGTAGCTTAATGATGAGCTGGACTCATTTGCTGGCTTCATAGCCACTTGAGCAACACCTGAGCAATTTTACTTGTGATCAGTCCTACTGAACTCATGTGCTTGAATATTTGCAGTTCAGAACCCTAATGCGAGAATATTTAACAAATCTTCCCATCTGGGAGAAGGCCAAATTCTGCTCCCATTAAAGCCTGTGCCAGTTCAATGGAGTGGCATCTGCTCCATAAGGTTATAATCCAACTGTACTTTTGATTGTATTCTTCCCAGACAGCAAGTTATCATAATTAAACAAAAAGATGAAGAAAAGAAATAATTACAACACTAAATCAACAACAACCTTGAAAGTAAGTTAAACAATAGGTTTTCCAACAGCAATTTTCCTTGGGCCCAATTCTCTATTGCCTTGAGCCTCGTGTAGTCATTACCTCTCTGCAAATGCTACCAGCTCAGAATGGCTCAATTCTACAGTCATTCTTTATAGGTAGAAGGGTCTGACACAATCCCCATTGAAATCAGTGGACAGACACCTATTGACTTTATGGGGCACTAGATTCGTCTATAAGTGAATACACAAAGTTATGATATCATAAATACTCAGCAAGATCACTCCAGCAAGCTTACACTTTTTGGGCATGAATGCCATTGATTTCAATCAAGATTAGGCCCAACACTTGCAACTCAAATGAGTGATCATTAATTAACACTCCTACAATTAACAATAAGTTAACTAAACTTCAAAGTTAAAGCTCTCAGGCTGGAAGTGAAGAAACATACCTGCATTTACTTTATAAATTCTGCATGAAACCAAGTTACATTTCAGGGGGCAAATTTTCAACCGGTATTCATGGATACAGCAGCACTGTCTTTAATGGTTTCTTACCCATTTACATCAGAGATTTTAGCCCCATGTTCATTAGAACACCTTTTCATTCACTGGGAGCAGCAAAAGTATACTGGGGCTGGCACATCCTTGGATTCTCCTCTCACTTGCACTCATTTCACACTGCCACTGATCTCAATAGATTTTTTCCTGATATACACCAAATTAAGAGGAGAACCAGGCCCTATTTGTTAGTTCTGAGAATTATCTGCAAAAACAACAGGGAACTATCCCGCTGTTGAAAGTTAGGTGGCGTGGGTCTGGACACAAAAGGTTTGCATCTTGAACCCAAAGAGTTTGCCACCCTGTGATACCTACCAACCTTAGTTGTGAAAAGACCTGAGGTTTGAATTTTTTACAATAAAGATACATTTTTGCATTCAGACTAATACTCATGTGCCTCCATGTTTATGTGGAAAAATTAATCTCTGACTTCTAGTCTATTTTTTATTGCACCAAAGTTGAATAGAATGTATATGTGAGTGGTTTTACATTGAATCCCTCCAGAATTCCACATCAGCTGTGACTCACTGTCAAACATTGTTCAGTAGATTGAGATGCAAACTCAAGGATCAGATTCTGCTTTCATCTGGTTGAGTTTTGTTTGTTTCAAATATTTTAATCTGGAGTGGACTGTGTTGGACACAGTTTGTTTTCTTTTAATGAAAACAAAATATTTTTGCAGAGTATTCTGAGGTTACAAGTCACCTAGAGAGTTGTATTAGATCCAATGTAAAGCAAGCCCGGCATGTCACAGTTTTTTCCAAGTGTCCTTGACGTGACCTAAGAATATTACAGCATTACTCCTGCAGTACAGAGCAGTTTAGAAGTTAACCTTTAGTGCCATCTGCTGGAACCATCAACTAAACAATGCAGTCATTTCAGTGTGCAAAATTCAGACTAAGATTGTGTCAACTAAACATCAGATTCTGGACTTTGTTTTGAAATTCTTTATAACAGCCAGTCAGTACATAAGACTGACTACCACAGAGTGCTTTTGGATACCCAGACAGACAGGAAAAAACAAATCAAGTCAGGCGTGACTATAAACTGTAGGAGTTAATTTGGGATTTAAAAACATATTCTTGTTCAGGTCCCATTGTTTCCATAGCTCCTCTATGCATAGGCCTTCCTGAATCTACTGACCGCTAGTCTAGGCTTCACTCTTTGTATCTGAGCATTCATACATGAGAATTAAGATAGTGGTCTCCACACAATTCTTTACCTACTATTAAAAATAACAGTGACCCTCATTCTCTTGTCACACCAGTTTGGTGTAACTTCAGTGACTTCCACAAAGTTATGCTTGATTTACACCAGTGTAAGAGGGAGCAGCACCAGAACTAGTAGCTGCCATCTTATTGTACTCTTAGACCTGCAACAGAATGGTGCCCAAACTATTGCTTAATGACCATATTCCATCTGCTTTTGGACCCATCATGTCAGGCATGCAGAGATGCACACAGACTACGTTATTGTTAAGTAGTTACCTTTGACTACATTTTTCTTCAGAGAACAAAACAAGCATTAAACCCTACAAAAACAAAAAAACTGATTCTCCAGGGTTTACCCAGTTCAGCTCCAATGGAGTTATACTTGATTTATACCAGTATAAGTGTCGAGGGAATCAGACCCAGTATGTCAATTTCCAGTATTATAAACTGCAATTTTTCCTAGACTTTCTTTTAAAGTATATTGTTTAAGAGCACTTTGTTTCACATTATATATTCTTAAGGCTAGATTCTGCCACCCTTACTGACACCGAGTAGCAACTTACTCTACACGTAGTCCCATTGAATATGCTCTTTAGTGTATTTTCAGAGAACATTTTCAGATATATAGAAGCAAAATAAATGGCATATAGTCTAGCACATCATGCATTTAAGTGGGTGACCGATGCAAGAACTGTGCACAGAAATGGTATATGTAATTTCTAATTAACGTATACATAACCTGTCTAGAAGTTCATATCTTTGCCATTAGCATTGGCCTAGACATCTTTATCACAGTTCGTTCTGTACATTAGTAAAATGACTAAAAACAGATCCTAAACAAGCTAAATTTTGCAAGATGATATAAATAACAAATGACTGATTTTCTGTGTTTGCATTTACTCCCTCTTGGGATACATTTGCACAGGTCATGTACCAATATAGGAAAAACCTACTTTTTTTTGTTTAGATTAATGAATTTATCCACCTCTACTTGACTCACATCCTGGTCAAGGAGAATTAGGTACAGAAAATGTATTCACGCCCTCCCTCTCTCCCCCAAGCATACGAGTAGATACCTGAAGAGACAGACACATAAACCCTCCACTGAAGAGGAGACTGAATTTGTACATGGAAGCCAAACCGGGCATGGAATCAATGTTCCACACTTACACCTGCTCTTGTGTTTCATTTAATTTTTTTGATGCTCTTCACCATTGTTTATACAGGTAGGTCTGCTGTTAAATTTCTCAGTCATGCTTTATATTAAGGGTACATTTATAAATCATTTATAAAGGGTTAATAAACTCTAACAAATGATTACTCCTAACCATGGCATATAATCATGTACGAAATCTTCTATTGTACTGATGTAGTTACAACTATCTGTAAGATATATTACTCATGTCTTCTACAGCTTTTCATCTCGTATTAACCCTTCTTAAAATATTTATAAATACACCCTTAGTACAAAATGTGACCATTTTGCATGTTATAGAAATATACTTTATTTAGTTCATGTCCTCTCAGTTTTTCCATTGCGATGCAACGGTACGGACAGCACAAGGACACGGCCTTCTCAAGGAATGGCTAATGGACTCCAAGCAGCGGAAAGAAGAGTCTGAAGATTGTATAATTCCCAAAAGAGTCATCTCAACATGCCTATAGCTCTGCTGCATAGAATGTTTGCCCTTATGATATTCCATACATTAGAAGGCAAGAGCATGGCGAAAGTGGGGGATGAAGGGTTTCTTCTGAAATGTTGAGGAGGGAGGGGAGAGAAAGAACAGACAAATATTTTAATTTAATAATTCTTGTGTGCATTCTAGCGAGCTAATAATTCTTACCTGATATTTTAACCGGACTCTGAAAGCTTGGTTGAATTTTATGGACATTGTCATTTTTTAACACTTGATCTAACGGAGATCTTTCAAAGAAGGTAAGGACAACTTCAGATCTAGAATACTGAAAAAGAACCAAATAAATATATATTTTCAAAGTTTAAGTCCCAGACTCACCGCTTGGTTTGTTTATCCTATTATCCCCTACCTCCCACCTGTTACTGGGCCAAATCTTGAGAAATGCTGAAGACATGCAATTCGTATTGACAACATGCAACTCCCATTGACTACATTAGGCATTCCAGATGCCCAGTGTCTCTCAGGGTTTGTCTAATAAATTATGACTACTTAATGGGCGCGTTTATTTTTGTTTTTTGTTACTTGCCCATCAGTGATTTTCTAGGCACTCTGTATAAAATATAGTTAATGTTCCTTATAACAAACTTATTTGTCCAGTGGGGGAGGGTGGGAGAGAACCTCTTACACTGAACTCATCTGGACATGCCAAAAATCTCATGAAGTCTGAAACTACTCTCGCTTGCACTCCTTTTCACTAGTGTAACTCCACTGACTTCTGTGCAGTACATTTTGCTCTACACAACAACAAGTAGCCAACCAGATTCATGATCTTCAGATTTCAAAATGACCAACCATTCACATTGGTTATCAGTCACCATGGTCGCCAATTACTGAAGTAGTTTTCTTCCCCAGTAAGCGCTTTGTTTGCTCATGAGTTAGTTTCCTTGGTAAAGACACTGACACAGCAGATGTGACTACACACTTTGTAAGTATCTGACACACTGAAATATAGCGATAAGTCTGTCAGGCAGAATGATCACGCCTGGCACATGGTCTATTGGCTACACTGTCATATGATAGGACCTTGGCTGAAAATATAAAATAAAAATACGTTGTATTTTCATGATGCATTCCATTTGAAGAACTCAAAGCACTTAAAATGAATAAAATCGCTCAGTATCCCTGCAAAGTATCATTATCCCGATTTTATTGATGGGGAAACTGAGGCACACATGTTCAGTGACTTCCCCATTTATACAGCAAAGCCAGTGCCATGACCAAGAATGCAACTCATCTCCCAACTCCTGCATGTGTGATTGAACTTCAAGAGCTATTACTCTTTTACAAGATCTTCCCAAGGATCTTTAAGTGTTTTGCATACATTAATCAAGCCTCAACATAGTCTTGTCATGGAGATAAATATTATAATACCTTTTGTACAGATGGGCAACCCAAGGAACAGAGAGGTTAAGTAACTTGTCCAATTTAAAAAGCGGACTGAATCTAGGGTCTGGATAACATTAAAAGGAAGGCATTCAGAAGCCTGGGGTAGCAGTGGCAAGACTACAAATAATACCCATTATTATTATTATTCATTGGGCACCTTCAGTGTGACTCGTGCAATAAAAACAGGGAAATATACGGTCCCTGCTTGACTGAGCTTACAATCTACAGCCCCAATCCTGCAATCAGAAAACACAGAGGTAGACCCTTGTGCCATACAGAGCCCCACTGAAATCAATGGGAGTCTGCTCAGGTGGATCTAATTATAAGATTGGGCCCTCAATTCAACACACCATGCAGGTCAGATATGTTACCCTGAAAGACAAGGAGATGATAGTCATGGCAATGCACAGGTCACTTTGTAGTAAATGTTATGTAACAGAACATTACTTAGATCACTGGTTCTCAATCTGCCGGTTGCTTGTGGTCCAATCAGCACACAGCTGCAGCCCATGTGACATCCTTAGGACCATTCAGGTAGTGTATATATATGTTGTGTGGATGCAGCCCTCATAACACAGAGAGAGCAGCGGGGGGAAAAAAAAAGCCGCGATCGCAATTGCGATCGGCGGCACTCCACCAGCAGCTCCACCACGCCGCTTTCTTCTTCGGCAGGAATTCGGCGGCAGGTGCTTCCCTCCGAGAGGGACCCGCCGCCAAACAGCCCAACGTGCCGCCCCTTCCCCTTGGCCACCCCAAGCACCTGCTTGCTGGGCTGGTGCCTGGAGCCGGCCCTGGATACAGGGAGGGATGATGTGCAGGATCTTGAACAGCCCCTTCTGCCTCTGCAAAAGCTCAAACAGCCCCACGCCTTCCCATCTAAATGAAGAGGGCAAGTTACTATCCACCGGGTCTGAAGTTCAGTAAGGTGGTACTTTGCATACTTACTTTCCAAGGCATATTTATAATAATCTTCAGAAGCTTCTCCACTTCATTAAGCCTGGCTTCTATATCACGGGCCTCTTTTATTGTGATTAGTCCTAGAAACAAGGTAAACACATTGTAAGCGAGAATGAAAATACAAAACATGTATGTGGACGTCTATATGAGGTAGACAGATCTAGTTTGCTCAAGAGTATGTGGAAAGGCATCAAACAGCATGCCTAATTGATACACATCTTTTACCTTAGGAGATGATGACCCATTGTCCAGAAGTAGCTCCCCTAACTTAATTTCAGAGTGTTGTTGTGTTGGAACACGGGGAGGGATATTAAAACAAAAAACCCCAAATCCTCTTTCTAGAGCCATAATCCATCCTTATTTGTCAAAGAAGAGTGGAAAAGAAAATACCCACACAAGAGAAGAGGAAAGAATCAAACACAAGCTAAACAAAGCTCTTTGAGAGCAGTCTCATGTTTCTTTGAACATAATATGGTACAGGAGCAATAATCAAAGGAAGATTTTTCAAAACCCTATTTGTAAACAGCTAGACTGCAGGACAAGTGTCTTTTGCTACAACTGTCATGGTAATCATCCACCATGAACGTTATCACACAGCCATAGAAACGATCAAGATGGAAAAAGACATGTTAGGTCCTCTACACCATCTTAATATCCAGTCAGTGCAATATATTTAGAGTGCTTTGTCTCTATTTTAAATGTCTCAGAATAAGAGGCTTCCACCATAATACTTGAGAGATTTTTTTCACAACCTAACAGACCTCATTGTTGGAAAATGAGGCAGTCCTAAAGGCTGCTGCAGAAAAAAATCCAGCAAACTGAAAAACCTAGGTGAATCTTTTAAAAGCAGACAACAAAAACGTGTAAAATAGTTTGAGGTAGAACCCTGTCCTTGAGCACTCTGATAATTTTTGTGGTTTTACACTCATATTTTCCTGTTTTTTAAAAAAAGTTTTAATCTCCTTGTTTCTGTGTGAAAGACCCATACAAGACTGTCAAACATACAAAACGAACAAACTAAGGACAAAAATATAGAAAAATGTCACCTCCATTTTCCTTCCAATCTCTCTCTGACATTGTTATCTTAGGCTGTGGCTACACTACACAGTTTATAGCGGTGCAGCTGTGCCACTGCAGCACTGCTAGTGCGGATACTCTAATCTGACAGGAGAGAGCTCTCCCATCGATTTAATTAATCTGGCCCCTGCAAGCGGTGGTAGCTACGTTGGCGGGAGAAGCTCTCTCCCGCCACATAGCACTGTTCACACTGGCACTTAGATCGGTGTAACTTACATCGCACAGGGGGGCGGCGTATTCACACCCCTGAGTGACATAAGTTATACCAACATAAGTAGTAGTGTCTACACAGCCTTATTTTAGGTGTTGCTCATAGCACTGGCACATACGTAACTTCCAGGCAGAAGTGTGAGTTTAGGCTGGCAATGGTCCTTAAAGTACAGCTTTAGTTTAAAAAAAAAAAAAGGTTACAGACTATCTCAACAGCAACTACTACTGGCAATGGGCCCCAAATTTACATCATCCACGGCAGAGCAGAGGATTGCCAAGGATGGACCAATAGGATGTTGGATGTGTTGTCACATTCTGCTATATTCTATACAAATCCATTAGGCACACTGTAACTTCCCCTATTTCTTCCATGCTCAAGGAAGGAAGAGGTTCCTTGCCCAGAGCCCGAGTCAACTCCCACTGAAATCAATGTGAGTATTTCTGTGGACTTTAAAGGGAGTTGGATTGGGCCTAAAGAAATTAGACACAGCAAAACCAACAGCCCTTAATATTGGGGTGCTCACAATCTTGATCTAGCTCTGAATTTTGTAACTAATAGGCACCTACAGAGATTCTATCTCACCACAATGTAGGTGAACAGGGTTATTGGGAAGTTGGACCAACATATAGATATAGCCTCATTTTCTATGTCTTTCTAGTTGCTTGGTAGCCCATTTTGCCAGCTCTTTATTCCAGGCCAGCCTCACCTGTGCTTTGACATGGAGCCAATGATTCTATATGTAAAGTGGCACAGTACTGTTTGCCTGGCTTTTACTATGAATAAGTAGGTAAGTAAATAAATCCATATATTCATGTCTTAATATTAGTGACATCATAGCAGAATTTTCTAAAGCCTTCACAATCCATCGCTAATTTCAAGGGCTGAGCAGCTGACCTTCCAGTGATCTGCCATATACTATCCATCCATCGTCTCACTGGTCGTCCCCCACTACAATGACCCCCACCATTCCTTCCATAATAACTTTCTCCGGTTATTTCCATCTCTACAACTTACGTGACCAAGTACATACCAAGATCTGCTTTTCTCCAGTCATATTTCTAACATAGGCATTCATCTTTTTTTCCTGCTAGACATACAGCATTATATAAAAACTTTCTGCAAATCCTTGAACACAATGGAACTACTTGCACGAGAACAGACTACACCTCTACTCCGATATAACGCTGTCCTCGGGAGCCAAAAATTTTTACCGCGTTATAGGTGAAACTGCGTTATATCGAACTTGCTTTAATCCGCCGGAGTGCGCAGCCCCACCCCCCCGGAGCACTGCTTTACCGCGTTATATCAGAATTCGTGTTGTATCTGGTCGCGTTATATCAGGGTAGAGGTGTATTTGTGTAAGTAAAGGTTTTCAGGATTGGGCTCCCGTGTTGCAGATTCAAGACACTGACACACCTCCTAATCTTCCTAAAGAGATGGCTGGCAGGAATGAGTATTTGTTCAAGTAAGAGCTCTCTCTGTCTACAATGCCTATTCTTTCATCAGAAATGGCAGATGAGATTTTTAGTCTCTGGAACTTCACAGGCCACCCACTAGGGGGTTCTACAGCTCCATGCATCCACCAAGATTTTCCATCATAAGCAAGAGATTTCACCTCTAGTACATGTTTCTAACCTCTAGATCAGGGGTCGGCAACGTTCGGCACGCCAATGGGGGCGGCGAGAAGCGGCGCGGGCGAGCGATGTGCTGGCCGCGGCTTCTTGCCGCCCCCATTGGCCCGGGACGGCGAACCGCGGCCAGTGGGGGCCGCGATCGGCCGAACCTGCCGCGTCAGCAGGTAAATAAAACTGGCCCAGCCCGCCAGAGTGCTTACCCTGGCGAGCCGTGTGCCAACGTTGCCGACCCCTGCTCTAGATCTTGGAAAAGAATCAGCTACAGACCAAATACAAAAACCTACTAGAAAACTGGAACAGAAGACTTTATAGCTTTTAGCACAATAAAAAACATTTTTATTAAAACCTTAAACAACGTAACAGAAGAAAAGAAGCGGAGTGGGGAGGAAGGAGATTAGGAGTGATGAGAGGCAGCGAAAACTCCTACCCTTTTGCTTTTCTACCGAAAGCCTGTAAGAGCCATCCATGCTCACTTGTTACCTCTGAATATAATGCTTCCTCTCAGTGACTGACAAGTGCCAATTTGTGGTCAGACTGCATGATTAGCACATGGGTCTGCTTTTAGGATCATGCAAATCTGCACTGCCACAGAGAGAGCTCCAGGACAGGCTTTGCCTACATGCATGAATAAGGACTATATATGCACGAATAAATCACTATAAATGTTCTCACTCACTACAAACATGCAGCCTACAGCTGCTGATCTTATACGATTAGTCACTATGAATTCAGCTAGGTACAGGCTCCTCTGCTTTATGCATCTGCATTCTAAATATGTGGAAAATACCCAAATGGTTTTACATGTAAACTGAAGCCAGCATAATTTCATTTGTAATATTTGCACACATTATATAATTTTAAAAATTAACAGGTACAAGACATGCCATAGTACTTTCAGTAACTGTAGACCACGATCCTGCAATTTATGGGACTGCTCACATGCATAAGAGTTCGCAGGATCAGTCGGAGTAACTTTTGGCCGAGAGGGTTGCAGGATTTCACCCAAGTCCTCCATTTACATTGCTAACGCAGACTTGGAAACCTTGTTCAGACAGAAGTCCTTAAATACAGGAAAATAAATCAGAAGAAGATGCCTTGTAGCTTGGAACCCAACTGTACTATTTTTCATTTGTTCAGTCATGCATACGTAGGTTAGCTGAGAAATATCCTAATGAGGTCATGGAGAAATGTTGCTCACACTCCTTTTCTTCTGCTGCAGTCTGACTTCTAATTGAAAGCATGTGCTAGATCCTCCCTGGAAACTTTGCTGTGCTGTCTTATTATGTGTACTATGCTTGGACAAATAACTATCATTTCAAGTGATTTAAATGCTGTAAACACCCATCTTTATCGTTCTTAAGCTAAACTGGATTTCCATGGGCTTCTTTTCCCCACCACAAAACCTTCAGTTATATACAAATGTTACTGAAATGTGAATAATTATAATATTTTAATGTCCATACACCTAATCTTGCACACGGCTGAACTTTTATGTAACACACATACATAGCAAAGCATTTATTTGCATGTTTTTTAACTGATAGAGGGCGGGGGAGAAATTTCACTCAATGGTGCCCAGCTCACTATATCACACACACTGTTGATGAGAAATGTACATAATGAATCACTTATAAAAAGATCTACTGACTTCCAAGGCAAAATAGCTACATACATACATAAGAGATGTAAGTCTCACACACCATCCCTAGATAATGCCATGAATATATATTTGTGGGTTTTTTTGGCAGACTCAATAACAAAAATAATGTGGCCTCCCCCTTCGCCACCCCTCCCCATCCAGGGCTTAGCGCAGGGGTCTCAAACTCAATTTACCTTAGGGCCAGTGCCAGTCCGCAAATCCTCCCAGTAGGCCAATGTCACTCACACTGCCCAGAACCCGCCCCCCAAAAACTCTGCCCCCCCAAAAAAACTCCACCCCCCACCTGCCTAAGGCTCTGGGAGGGAGTTTGGGTGGGGGAGGAGGTCTGGGGTAGGAGATTGGGGTGCAGGCTCTGGGAGGGAGTTTGGGTGCAGAAGGGGTGAGAGGTTGGGCTCTGGGAGGGAGTTTGGGTGGGGGAGGGGGTCTGGGGTGCAGGCTCTGGGATGGAGTTTGGAGGCTGGGGTGTGTGTGGGGAGGGGGTGCATGCTCTGGGAGGGA